AAGTAAAATTGAAAATGAAAATAAAACTATCATAGTTTCATTTATAAAAATTTTAAAGGATATTATTCACATAATGGTGATTATGTAAAAATATACTTATGGCTCTCGAATAATTTTTAAATTGTTGCGAGGGACAGGATTGGGTTAGTGCAAACGTAATTGTGGTTTTTGCATTGTTCAAATTTGCCTTTGATATTGGAATACATTCTTAAATAAATGTGGTTATATTATACATCATTTTAATGCACATTTCTCACTTTATGTTTTTTTGCTAATGACATTACTTGCTATTTATTTTATATATATTTTAGACTATGGAAATGATGTTAGACCAAAAGCAAATTTGAGCGATTTTCTTATTTGTGTTCAAAATGGGTCGTAAAGCAGCAGGAGACAACTTGCAACATCAACAACACATTTGGCCCAGGAACTGCTAACGATTGTACAGTGCAGTGGTGGTTCAAGAAGTTTTGCAAAGGAGACGAGAGCCTTTAAGATGAGGAGTGTAGTGGCCGGCCATCGGAAACAGACAATGACCAATTGAGAGCCATCATCGAAGCTGATCCTCTTGCAACTACATGAGAATTTGCCGAAGAACTCAATGTCGACCATTCTATGGTCATTCAGCATTTGAAGCAAACTGGAAAGGTGAAAAAGCTCGATAAATGGTGCCTCGTGAGCTGACCACAAATAAAAAAAAAAATCGTCGTTTTGAAGTGTCATCTTCTCTTATACTACACAACAACAGTGAACCATTTCTCAATCAGATTGTGACGTGCGATGAAAAGTGGATTTTATACGACAACCAGCGATGACCAGCTCAGTGGTTGGACCTAGAAGAAGCTCCAAAGCATTCCCCAAAGCCAAACTTGAACCAAAAAAAGGCCGTGGTCACTGTTTGGTGGTCTGCTGCCAGTCTGATACAATATCATTTTCTGAATCCTGGCAAAGCCATTACATCTGAGAAGTATGCTTAGCAAATTGATGAGATGCACTAAAAACTACAATGCCTGCAGCCAGCATTGGTCAACAGAAAGGGCTCAATGCTTTTCCACTACAATGCCCCCTGCATGTCACACAACCAACACTTCAAAAGTTGAATGAATTGGGCTGCGAAGTTGTGCTCATCCGCCATATTCACCTGACCTCCCACCAACTGACTACCACTTCTTCAAGCATCTCAACAGCTTTTTGCAGGGAAAACTCTTCCGCAACCAGCAGAATGCAGAAAATGCTATCCAGGAGTTCATCGAATCCCAAAGCATGGATTTTTATACTACAGGAATAAACAAACTTATTTCTTATTGACAAAAATGTGTTGATTGTAATGGTTTCTATTTTAATTAATAAAGATGTGTTTGAGCCTAGTTATAATGATTTAAAATTCACAGTCCAAAACTGCAATTACTTTTGCACCAACAATATATTTGCCCTTTCTCCCGTAATAGCTTTCATTACACTATTTTGTAATATACTCCACAATATTACATGCTTCCTGAGGGCATATTCATTGTCTATTTCTTTCCAATTGCATCTCCTGTATTTGAACCTAAGACACATATTACTGTCAAATGAAGAAATTATTAGAAAAATCTCAAGGAAGTAGAGAACATATTTGGTAACTTTACAAAGATTATGCTTGCTCATTTGCAATATTGATAAATATACATTTCTCAAACCAAAAATATATAGTATAACCTTGGCTTTCAGTCCTGAAATTCACTAAGGTTTCTATTACCTTGTATGTGCTGCTCCTACTTTTAAGGTCACTTCTCCAACTTCTGTCTTTCAACCTGATTAACTTCTACCAAACCTTAAGGTCTCAGCTTAAGTGTCACAGACGCCAGGCTGTTTCTAACTCACTACTAAGGCTGGGGTGGGGATGGGTGGGGCTCTTCGTATGCCTTTTTATCACCCTTTGCTTTCCCTAAGCTTAGTCCTGTCTCACTTTACTTTGTCTAAGCAGCTACCTGTATAACTAACTAGACTATAAATTCAATGAGAGAAGATACTATGTATTTCCTCATAGCCCTTTTTTCTAGTATGTAACATGTATATAGAACTTAGCAGATATTCAATGAATAATAATTGATTGATTGAATGAATCAAGCCTAAGAACAATGTTAGCTGTAAATTATTGTTGTTGCATTACATATGAAGTCCTGATATAAAATGCTAAGAAGTTGATCACTTGTTCATGATGACATAGCATGATGGCAAGGTCGATTGTAGAAAATAGCTCTTTACTAATGCCTTATCCCAAATATACCAATTAAGAAAGGAGATAGATTGGTAACTGTGGAAATGAAAGAAATATGAATGTTGCAGTATGAAGAGATTGAACAAAACTGGTGAGATCGTATGTAGCATTCCGTTTTGTGGTATGATTTTTGTGTAGCCTTAGGAATGTAGGGAAGTATGGATGTATTCCCATGTTATAGCTTTCCTTCATACACAGACATGAAATAGGGTAAATATAATGGCAATCAGGGTGAAAAATGTCCATTGTAACAGAACTTTATAAATGGGTTGGAATCATTTATAAATCATTTAAAATCTATCTGAAGATAAAAAAAGTTCTTTGATTTATGGACTTAGAGTATTAGAAATAGTTTTGCTAAGAACAGGGATGATAACTGAAATGTTTATTCATTAATATTTTTTATCTTTTTTGAAAATGAAATGAACTTTATGGTATCACTTACATGTAGAATATTTTTTAAAAAGTTGAACTCATAGAAATAGAGTAGAAAAGCGGTTGCAAGGGACTGGGAGTGGGTAGGAGAAATAGGGAGAAGTTGGAAAAATATCTATTAAAAATAATTTTTAAAATGAATTCATAATATAATCTATAACATAATAAATGTATAAAATGCACATGTAGATAAATGTTATATAATAAAATATAACGTATGATATATCATGTTATATTATTTTTTCTCAGCCAGACCCTGCTATTGTGGAATATGTACATATTGTGTGTATATTATGTATACATAATACACATATAATACATATATACACATATAGATACACACAATCTATGTATAATATGTTGTGATGTAATATGGTTGGAAAGTGAGACTTACTTTGGCCAATTTGCTATTGCAAGTTATGATGCAAGCAGAGGCTTAAAAGGTGCTTTCGTATTTTAACTCTTGCTTTTCCTCCTCTGGGACTGCCATGAATGTGTGCCTGACCTAGGCTGTTGGAGGATGAGGCAGATAGGGGAGAGCTGAGTATTTTTAGTTACCTGAGATAAGGCCATTCTGGGCCAGCCAACAGCCAGCTGATCTTCAGATGTAACAGTGAGCTCAGTCAGGCCCAGTCTAAATTGTCAATTCACACATTTATGAGTGAATTTATTGCTTTAAGCCTCTGAATTTTGGAGTAATGCACATTATTGTAATAATGGCTAACAGATGCAGCAGAAGATATGGGTGCTTAATTGAACAGCTTATGGTGTGGCTTCGAGAAGATAAGAACACATTGCATTTCAGTAGAGTAAGTAGGCCCCCCAATGAGCTCTGTGTTCATTCCATGATTAGATTTCTCACGGTTCCAAAGATCTGGGATCTCTGAGCCCAACCAAAATGAATGACTACTGAAAGAGTCTTCTATGAAATATACAAAACTCCTTACTAAGAGGCCTCTTTGGATGGCCACATGATTTTAGTCTCAAAATGTTTCAGGAACACCTTTAGCTCTCTGATGAAGAAAAATTAGGAGAAAGTCCCTTTACACACATGAGGTCTGACAATTAAGTTCACGAACTTGTTACAACGATGCTGCTAACCTTTTTTATATCTAAGGGATTATTCATTATGAATTTGTACCAACTGGACAGTTAACCAAGTTTACTATTTGGAAGTGCTGAAAAGGCTGCTTGAAAAAGTTAGACGACCTGAACTTTTAGCCAACAAAAAATCATGGCTCTTGCATCACGACAATGCACTAGCTCACACAGCACTAACTGTGAGGGAGTGTTTAGCCAGTAAACAAATAACTGTATTGGAACACCCTCCCTACTCACCTGATCTGGCCCCCAATGACTTCTTTCTTTACCCCAAGATAAAGGAAATATTGAAAGGAAGACGTTTTGGTGACATTCAGGACATCAAGTGTAATATAACGACAGCTCTGATGGCCATTCCAGAAAAAGAGTTCCAAAATTGCTTTGAAGGGTGGACTATGTGCTGGCATCGGTGCATAGCTTCCCAAGGGGAGTACTTCGAAGGTGACCATAGTGATATTCAGCAGTGAGGTATGTAGCACTTTTTCTAGGATGAGTTCACAAACTTAATTGTCTGACTTCATATTACATACACAGAAACACATGTAGATACTACATTATACATCCATTATGTACACAGGAAGTCTCTTGCTTTCTCAGGACAGCCACAGTATCTTATCCTAATTCTCCTTTTTTTTTGTTCAGATAGTTGGGATTACTTTTACTTTTCAGTTTGAAATTCTATATTTGAGAACATTTCTGGCATGAAGAAGAAAAATGTTTTCATAGAAATTCAGGTTGACTAATTTCCTTCTGTTCTTCACATAGTGAAAAGCACACAATCAGTGATCAGGACATTTGAGGTGAATGGAATCATATAGCCATTGGTCCACAAGGAAATAGATTTCATCTAGTTCTAACCTGTTTTTCACAGATGAAGAAGTCTGAGTGACTAATAGAATTTCCAAAATCATACAAGTTGACAACGCAAGTTAGAATATAAAACTTCAATCTTGAATTTTTTTTATTAGTTAACACCCTCACTTCATTACCATTCATGTATAGTAAAGGGGAATCGCATGTAGGTGACTTTGGCCATCTGTTAATAGATCACTTAAGTATGAAGCTGGAAACTGCCAACCTACTGGAGACCCCTGATTGAATAAACATTTGGATTATTTCCCATATCGTTTAAGATCTTGTGTTCCTAGAATGACCTTAGTCTGATTCTTCACTCTCAACTTTGAGCTACATCCTAAATACTCAGTGCTACGGATCCATCTCAACTGGCAATCGGGATGGCTACCAATAACAAGATCTTTGCAGCTGAGAAACTTCTGACATGCTTGTGCTTATTATTATGACCCATAGGGCAACACCTCTTACTGATGGATAGTGTGTCAAAAAGTTCAATGTCTTCCTAGGAAAAGAGTACACAGTAAGCAATTTACTGAAGCAATGCCTAGAAGTAACTTATAAGTGAAGAAATAAATATATGAATGTGACATAACACATCCATCCTCAAATGCATTCAATGTAAAGGCACAGTTATCCAGAAACAATAATCAGGAATTATTTTGTTCACTTTACACTAAAAGGAAGCGCATGATTGCTGTATCAAAGGCACACAAACATTCACTGGGAGAAATTGCATTAGGACTGTAGTTTCCCCATCCCAAATGTATCTTTTCTCCCTAGGCTAGAAGGGAAAAAGGGTATTCTTACTCCAGGAGCTATTGGGAACAAAGTATCACCAGTGATTTGTGCCTTGGTGACAGCAGTTACCTCTCTCTAAAAGTGAAGAGAGAGAGAGAGAGAGAGAGAGAGAGAGAGAGAGAGAGAGAGAATGGTTAGACTCTTGGACACCCTAAAGCTCAGGGAACATTCTTAACCCATTTGTAGGACGTGGCCATGTATCAGTCTTCCTTAAGCTCAGCTTGATCCCCTACCTAAAGCACACCCTCTCACTGCCATTTGTAAAATGGAAGCAAGTCTGTGTGCCTCCCAGTCCGAGATCCCAAAGTAGGGGTTGGCGTGGCCCTAGCTGCAGGTTTGCGTACAGTCTGCAGGTGCCTGGAGAGCACTGTGTACTCGCTGCGCAGAGGTACAAGGCTGAGTCTTCAGGCTGGGAAGCTGAGATGTGCAGAGATAGGTGTTTGGCACTCACATTGAGGAAGACTGTGAATCTTTCATTTTCATTTTCAACCTTAACTGAACGTATCGATATCAAGAACGCAGGACCTGTAGCAGGGTATTTTTTGTACCATGCAAAGTAATCAAACAAACTATTACTGTAGTCGCAGTTCAGAATAGAAATTTCTCCTTCTTGCACACTCAGGGATGGAGAATGTTGCTTAACCTGCTGCTGGTCACCATTCTTCTGTTGACTATCCACCCCTGTTTGGAAAGACAGTAACAGATTTTAAATTTTATTCATAAAGTCAACACAGAAAGCCATCTGGAGCCAGAAGGCAAAACAAAACAAAACTCCCCAATGATCTCATCACCCAACCTTGTAACGTTCCTTGGAGTTTCTCTACTATAGTCAAAGCTCCCACCCACAACTCACAGTCTGCCTGAAGCCACAGAGTCAATAGTGATGCCCACAGGAGCTTGCCCATTTCTCTTGTGAAGACTCTGGTTGTCTTTTCTCCTGCCCAGGCAACTGCAAATCTGACTTCAACTTCCTACACTTCATTCATTTCCTATCACAGACCCTTCTGTTTCACATATGAGCAGCCCTGTTTTTAGCTAAAGTTATTTGTCTTTGTGAAAGGAGGCACTGCCCCCTTTAGTCCACATGAAGAAAACTTCTAAAAATGCATTTCTGTATTCCGTAAAGAGCAATTTGTAATTCCTTCCCCATAAAAAAGTTAAAATAAGGGATTTTAAGAGAAGGGAAAGTTTTAGAGATCACATAATTCAAACACACACACACACACACACACACACACACACAGAGGAGGTCTGACAATTAAGTTTGCAAACTCATCCTAGAAAAAGTGCTACATACCTCATTGCTGAATATCACTCCAGTCACTTTCCAAGTACTCCCCTTGGGAAGCTATGCACTGATGCCAGTGCTTAGTCCACCCTTCAAAGCAATTTTGGAGCTCTTTTTCTGGAGTGGCCATCAAAGCTGTCGTCATATTATCTTGATGTCCTGAATCGACATTCATAAGATGTCTTCCTTTCAATATTTCCTTTATCTTGGGGTAAAGAAAGAAGTCATTGAGGGCCAGATCAGATGAGTAGGGAGGGTGTTTCAATACAGTTATTTGTTTAATGGCTAAAAACTCCCTCACAGACAGTGCCTTGTGAGCTGGTACATTGTGGTGATGCAAGAGCCATGAATTGTTGGCAAAAAAAAAACAGGTCCTCTTTTTCACACAGGCTTTTCAGCACTTTCAAATAGTAAACTTAGTTAACTCTTTGTTCAGTTGGTACAAATTCATAATGAATACTCCCTCTGATATCAAAAAAGGTTAGCAACATCATTGCAACAAGTTTGTTAACTAAATTGTCAGACTATATATATATATATATATATATATATATATATATATATATATATATATATATATATATCCATACTGCAAGTAGAAAATGATAACTGAGAATGTTTTCATGCAAAATTAAATTAAATCTGGGTCAGGTCTTGGCATCTAAAGGATGATTAGACATGAGATTGGGGAGGGCATTATTCTTGTTCTTTCTTTTATGGTAAAGTTATCACTTCCATGTTTGGGGAAGTAAAAAGTTGGAAAGAGGGATGGAAAATGTGGTGCCGGTACCAGGAAAGCAAAAACATTACAGGAAATCTTTAGGAGGTTTCTGATTATGTCTCTTTGGTCAGAGCTGTGCTATAAGCAACACCCAATTATAAGAAATGATGTGAAATGTAGTTCTTTTTTAAAATCTGGGGATATAGTTGCCCAAATCAAAATTGAAGGTTATGTTAACATGGAAGCAAAAGAGAAGGGTGCTGAGATTGGCCACTTGCAGTGTCTGCCTTCCTGACTACTAAGGTGGGAATTCAGAATGTTAACTCATTCCCCCTGAGGAGTCGGTGGAAACGTCTCAATAAACATTGTCTCAATTCCTCTAAACATTTATTTAGAGGAATTAATGATATTTTTAACAGGGGCATTTATTGAGTATGTATGTTGTGCCTGGAACTTCATAATAAAATTTTGTATATTATATCTCAATTCACAGCAACTCAACAAGATGGGTATTCTTATTAACATGTGTTTATAAGGAAGCATGGGTGAAGATAAATAACTGCCCAAGGATACAGAGCTAGAAAATTGCAAAAATAAAATTCGAACCTGGGGCCATTGTGATTCCCCAACTAATGTGCTTTGTATTATATCATCTTGCTTTCGAGAACAAACAGGAATTCTTCAAGGATAAAAATGGGGTGGTAGAGGGCTTGCCAGTGGAAGGATTCTCTACTTCTATCTTCTTCAGCCTTGAAAACTTGAAGTTATTGTGATCTGCCATTCAAAGTCTAATCCCCGAGCAAATTCTGTGCATGTAAAAGCTACTGTGGTTTACGTTTAAGCCGTTTTAGAGCCACCAACTGGAGATACTGCTTTAGAATCACAGTTGCATTGTTATTGGGGTATACATTGGGCATTTTTCTGACAAAAAAAAATAGCCACTTCTAATTATTTTTAATTTTTTATTAAAATGTAGTTGACATAATATTATATCAGTTTCAGGTGTACAAACACAGTGATTCTATGTTTATATACCTTATGATGTGATCACCATATGTCTAATACCCATCAGTCACCATACAAACTTATTATGATATTATTGACTATATTGCCTGTGCTGTACACTAGATCCTCATGACTTGTGTAATTTTAACTGGAAGTTTATACCTCTTATTTCCCTTCACCTTTCTCTCCCATCCCCATAACCCTCACCCTTTTAACAACCATCAGTTTGTTCTCAATATCACTAATTATTTTTTACTATACTCTGCCTTTCATTTCAGTTTAATAAACTGGGGATGAGGCAGTTTCTTCAACTCCAGAGTACTAGAAAACTGCAAAATGATTTATTTAAGTGGCTTGTACTAACCATTCCCAGCTGTGGTCTTTAGGAAAACAGGAAGACCAATCAGAACTATGACACCGACAGTCTTATATCTTCCATTTGTCACTCTGTATGGACTTCTCTTCTTCCCCTGACTGCCTACCAGGAGAACTGTAGACCCTTATTTTTACTAGTTCAAATAGAGAGCTAAATTTCCAAAGTGTGTCTTAGAGCAGAGGAATCTTTTCCTCCAGTGCTTGTGGGAAATGTTCTGGAAAGGCAGCAGATGTGGTTCTGTGAAGGGGTGAGGTCATTATCATTGTTCCTGCCAAGAAGGATGTGAGGAAGATCTGGAGGAATGCCACAGCAGTGTGACTGGGGCCTGCAGCAGAGGGTTTGTGTGAAGGCAGCAGGTGTCCCCAAAGCACTGTGTCCCCTGCACAGAGGTAGGTGCCCACATCCCCAGGCTGGGCTGCAGTGATGAGCAGGGAGCTGTCCTTTCTAGCTTCACCAAGCCGAGCTGTTAGTCTCTTCTGCACTTTCACGTCTCCACCCTTAGTTAATATCATTAAGAGGACAGGACCTTTTCCCGGCTCCTGTCTGTACCATTGAAAGGTGGAAAAAACGCTTGAGGATTTACAGTACACAGTGACATCTTCTCCCTCCTGGATGCTTACAAACCGAGGACTCTGCTCCAGCTGCTGGGTGCTTTTCCCTGTTTAGAAACAAAGCAGAAGACATTAGGAAGGGAATTAGGAACTTTTTCCCACCTGAAATGATTTTTCTTCCTCCTTCCTTCCTTCCTTCCTTCCTTCCTTCCTTCCTTCCTTCCTTCCTTCCTTCCTTTCTGCCTTCCTTCCTTCCTTCCTTCCTTCCTTCCTTCCTCCTCCCCCATTCTCTCCCTTTTCTCCTTCTTTAATTCTTGCTTTCACTCTAGTATAAAATAAACTGCCCTCAAAAATTTTCCATCTCATTGGATGGCCTGTTAATTTAATTGGGAACTTCTCAAACTCACATGCCAGTTGAATCCAAAAGATCAATATCAAGAATTTCAGGGACATCTTTCTTCCTATCACAAGGCAGCACTGGCCTCTGACTTCACCTACCCTTGAACGATCCCTCCCTGAAAGTGGCTCATCGGCTAGAGTAACACTTACTACTCATTTGGATCTGAGTGAAAAGGCAGAGGCCTCTGTGTGGCAGCCAATCAAATCACTCACTCTCTACCCACCACTTCCTTCAATCTCTAACTCTGCTTTGACTTGGGGAAGGATTTTGCCTTTTGAAACACTACCCTCCTGTGGAGAGATAGAAAAGTGGTTTCCTTTCAATAATGCTTCTATCACTCTGACTCCTTCCCTGGGTAGACACCAGTGCTGATGAGCGTTGGAGGAGAGCAACCACATTCAAAGTGCCAGTTCTGCCTGTGTAACCTCTTCTCAGAGCCACAAAGCTCTTCAAGGGAGCTTAGGACTCATCTGAAAAGATAGAATATTGAACATAAACATAATTTAACACAAAGTCACTTGGTGGAGGGATGATAAATTTTGACTAAATGAGTTGATGTTGGAGTCAAATATACTTAAATTAAAGCTGTATCATTGCCAGTTACCAGCTAGGTTACATCAAACAACTTATGTAATCCACTCATGTAGTAGTTCTCTATTCAGTACAATGGGGTTTACATTACTTATTCCGTGGGTTATGTCCTAAGGATGCACTGAGATTACACACATAAACTGGATTGTGTCTCTATCAACCTATTTAGATGATTTCCTGAAACTCACCACTACTCTTCCCATTCCTCCTCAACAGGCACAAAGCAAAAGGCCCAGCTGGGTTTATCTAGAGAAATCCAAGCACACTTCACCATCATCAATCACAATGCCATATTTTTATTTCCCATATTAAGATCTGCCAGGAAAGAGCCTGCTGCTTTTGAAGGTGACTATGGGAGAGAAAAGTCCTGAGGAGCTGTTATAGGCTGAGGTTTTAATGAACTGAAGCTCACACAACACAGGAGATTTTGGCAAGAAAACTTCCAGTGTCCACTTCACATAGAGTCTCACCCACTGAATAATGGAAAAAATCTAACTAGCTCATCTCCTCTCTTACCAACTGGCTTATACAGTCTTGAGAATAAAGACAAAACTTGGCATATAGTTGGTGTACTAGCAGAAGAAAAAATGTTGTGATCCCAGTTAATAATCAAGGCTGTGTCAGGACAGGAGAGAAAAGATTTTCCATTTCATCAGTAAGAGAAGAAGTAGCTGTAAAGAACACAACATTTAGAACCCTGTGGAGGGTTGTGGGTGAAATCTAGGGCAACAAATCAATCGAAGTTGGATATGTTGTGCCAAGTTCTTTTGATTGATTCTGAAACTCAGTATTCAACAGGCATCAGGGAGTTAATCTATCTGTGTGATTGGAGATCTGAAGAGATAAGTATTCTTTTGTTTCAAAATATTTCTCTCTGCTTTCTCTCTTTCCCTCTACCTTTCTACCCTGCCCATTTTTACTCCTAATAAATGTATACAAGAGAATACACCAGTGATATTATCAATTGAAAATACCTGGCTTAAATTTATAGCCAGGAATATTCAGAACTCAGTTTACTCTCCATAGTGTACTAGATGTGTTGATCATGGACAAACTCATTTGTTTTCTAGGCCTCTATTTCTCCACCTATATGAATTTGTTAAGTGTTTATACTGTGCTAGAATATGAGTTGAACTCTTGAAAGATATTTTCTAATTTAATCATTACAATAAATTCTGAATGGATTATTATTATTATTGTTATTAATATGCCAGTATACAGATGATAAAAGTGAGGTTTAAAATATTTATTAACATTTTTACTGTAATTCAGTTGATGTCAGAGTTGAGAGTTGGACTCATCTATGCAATGCATAAACCTACCCTCTTCCATGACTTATTATATTGCTTTATTTAACATGGATTATTCTAATTTTCATGTTATAATTATAATTAAATTGCTTAATATATGTAAATAGTTTTTAATACCTGCTGCATAGTAAATACATAACTAGGGAAGCACCAAGACAAAAATGTTGAAGACAGTAGGCAGGGCAAGAAAGTAGGAAATGATTTGAGCTTCTCATAGTAAATATTTTCTATGAGACGGAGCTCATAAAACTGACTTTTCTGTTTTGTTTTTGGCTTCTATATGAAAACTAATTTTTAAAAAGTTAATAGACGTTATTTTTTAGAGCAGTTTCAGGTTTACAGAAAAACTGAACAGAGACTTCCAAGCTACTCCCTCTATGCCCACCCACAGGACAAAAAATTGATGTTTACACTCCCGCAGATCACATGGAATACAGAAAGGCTGGGTGCTTTTGTTGTATCATATTCCGTAAAACTTCATGCAGTTAAATGAGATGTCAGCATGTGGTTTATACTCAGATGTTATACTGAGATGCACTCAGTGAAAGTAAAAAGACACATTGCAATGAAGAAGGGCTACACACTCCTCATCTATTGCATTCTGTACTTATTGGCTCCTGGGATGCCAGTCTTGCTAATGGACGGCCTAGCCTAAGTCATGGTTTACTGTCTGGTGGCTGTCACTTCTGAGGCTAAGGAAAAGCCCAGTGGCATTGCTCCATTTAACAATTAGTGATGTCCCACCTTGTGAGAAAATATGCAGATGAGTTGCAAGGAGCCCTAGGATGTCCTAGTGTAATTCATCATGTGCATAATAGCATTCATTTTGTGGCAGATCATCTTCATAACTGATCATTTTTTTAAATGAAGGAATAAAGTTTTCCTGTACCCTCTCTAAGATCATTACTGTGACACAAAGGCCCATGACCTGGTCCAGAATTGTGGCATAGGATATGAATAGCATTGCTCTCAATTTAATCTTTGAGCACAGGAAAGCAAAAGTTGTAAAAAGCAACATAAGTTGTAAACTTTTGCAGCTGAGTACCTGATGCAATAACAGCAGAAAATACTTGTTTGCCTCAAATCAACATAGACTAGTGTTTCCTGGATTGTTAGAATTTTATTTTTATTTTTATTTTTTTAATCAACCTGGGACACATGCAAGGAGGAGAAGAGTTTACTGATTTGAGACCTTTGGCATTTTCTAATGTAGATATTTACTATTATAAATGTCCTTTTAACCATTGATTTATATTCTTTCCATTGTTCTTTAGTGGAGTGTTCTATAAATATCAATAAGATCAAATTGGTTGATAATGTTATACAAACCTGCTATACTCTTGCTGATTCCTGATTATTTATTCTATTATTTAATGAGCACAAAGGGTAGGGTCCCCAAGTGTAATTGTAGACCTATTTTTAAAAATTCAGATTAGCTTCAAGTATTTTTAAACTCTGTTGCTAGGAGCATACACATTAACATTGTTATATCTTCTTAGTAAATTGACTATACACTGTCAATTGAACAGCAAAAAGTAGTGGAAGGAGCATGTTGGAAGTGAGTTCAAAAGGTGAAAAATCAGAAGTTCAGTACTGGTCACATTATATTGGAATCCTGACTCTCTAGACTGCCATGCCTCCAAGGGAAGCAGAATATCCTTACAAGTCTTTCTGTCCTGGATCTTGTTAACATGACCCAGTAGTAAAAGAAGGAGCATGTGGAACTTCCTGTTTTTTCTCAGGAGCCAAGCACTCCCTAGGGCTGTACTTCTTCGCCCTGCTCATTTTCATCAAATGAGAGACCTTGCTAAAAACAGGCCAGGCTGTGTCCTTGAGTCTCTGAGAACTGCAGTGTCTCAGGAGGTTTGTGTTCAGCTCCCCCTGCAGTCTCAGGCACTGTGGCACTCACAGCACAGAAGTACACCCCCGAGTCGCTCCAATGGGCTGAAGATTTCCTCAGGTAGAAGGAGGTTTCACTTTTCTTAAATTCAGCCTTGAAATCTTTGATGCCATTAACCAGGGTATTCCCTGCTACGTTCTTGAGGAGAAGCTGAAGGCTTTGACTGGGGTATTGGACATACCAGAAGAGATAAACAGTTCCACCATAGGTATAGTTGCATTTCAGCTCCAGAGAGGCTCTTTCAGAGACAGTGATGGGACCAGCAGGCTGGGTCACTGACTGGGCTCTGGTTCCTCCTGCAACATCAATGCTGAGTTAGTAAGACTAGTACAGGCCTACCTAGAATGAGACTGTGTCTCCAGTCAGAGTCCAGTCACAACAATGTTCCTCCCATGGAGGCAGAAGCATGAAATACAACATTACTTACTCACTGTGAAGAGCATTCCAAGCAGCAGAAGGGTCACTGAGAACATGTCTAGGCAGAGCAGAAGCTGAGCTGTATTGTGGAAGATCTCCCCTGAGGAGCAGGAAGGAATGTGACCAAGTATGCTGAGTCCTTTTAAATGGGAAAATCTGAGATTCAAGAGATCCCTGTTTAGGAGAGTTCTAGAGACTATTAATAAGAGATGCTTCCATGACAATGGCTGCTCCTGGTGTTGAGCCTACTCACATGAGCACGACAGTGAGCTTTGAGGTCAAGTCGTTCATTGGAGGGAGCTAAAACTTTTATTAGCTGAGACATTTCCAGTTTATGCAACATCGCCCTCTGGAGGTCAAACATAGAAACAAAAGGAGTCAGGTTTTTTTGTGCCCCATCTCCTTCCTGCTCCTTGAATTTCTCAGCATTATAATTTGTAAGAGTGTTGTTAGGGGTCTACTTACTAAAAGTCTATCCTAGTTTTATGAATTTAATAACATTATTTAATCCTATGAAATAAATTGAATTATCATCATCATTTTATAAGTAAGGAACTTGAAGCGTAGAAGAAAAGATATAGTTTGTCCAAGATCACAGGAAGTGACAACTGGAATTTGTCCCATTACTATGATTCAAGAATTCACATTATTAATCACTGATAATTTAGCACTATATCCCCATCTAGAAGATATTATCCTCAATTAACAGAAAGGAAATCAAGTGTATATGAAGCTAAATAATTTGTCCAGGGACACACAAGGATTAAAACCTAATTTTGTTAGACTCCAAACACAGTTCCTTATGCACTATGTTATCTATGATATTGCACTACTCTTTAAGAGTAGATATAGTTTCACTGAGACAGACAATA